CCCCCCCACACACACACACTATATGTGTGTGTGAAATCAGATACACAAAAGAATGATGCTTGTAACAAAATTAGAGAAAGGATAATGAAGTAACATCAATTATTAAGGCTGACTGAACAACAAGAAACAAAGTAATGAGAGAAACTACCACCAAGCAGAGAATTTGTATGACTACCTGTAATCAAAAGATTTGATCCTGACTCAACCTTGAGAGTTAGATCATCCACTAATATTGTGTTGAAACAACACCCTACTTAATTAACTCTATTTGTTGTTTGTACGATTTTATTTTTTCACTGGAAGTCTTCGATTCTGTCACGTTGCGAACACGCATAAATTGAAATTGTGCTAGTTCGAATAAAAAGAACCTATAAACGAAATCCTCCACAAACAATAATAAAAAAATAATTTAAAAATATTATATTTTTTTTACAAAAAATAAAAAATAAAAAATTTGACTGGTACGGGTATGGGTACGAGTATACCCGATACCCGACAGGGACGGGGATGGGGATGAAAATCACATACTCGACGGGTACGGGTACGGGGACGGGGATGGGTTTAGCTCACGGGGACGAGGGCGGGTATCATGAAACTCGTACCCGACCCGTCCTGTTGTCATCCCTATCTCTAGCACCATTATTATTAGCATTATCATTATTATCATTATCCCTAATACCATCATCATCATTGTAATCACCTTGTGCAGCTGTATCATCATCATTATAATCATTATTGTTATCATTATTAATATTATCATTATTGTCACCACCATTGCATTATCCCTACTCTTACCTAGGAGTGGATAGATGGACTCAGGTCCGCGGACCGATTCGTAAGCTTGCGGACTTTACGAATAACAGACCTATTTTTTTTAAATCCGTATGATTATGTTTAATTTTTTAGTCCGATCCGTGGAGTCTGCGGACTTGACAGATTTAATCCGTGGGTTCGCGGACTAGTCCACGAGTTTCACTAATTAATATTTTAAGACTTTAATATTAAGTTGTGTATTTAATCTTTTAAATTATTATGACATTAAAACTATTTTTAGTTGGTATGCATTTGTTATTTGAATTATTTTTATGATATTTTGATACTTTTATTATTGAAAGTTTGGCACTATTATATAAATATTTATAATTTTTTATTTTAATATTTTAATATTTATTATTTTAAACCATTTTAACTGTTGATAAATTTTAGTGTGATGAAATTTAGCTTATAAATAAAAAAAATATTTTTTTTCTTCTAATTTTATGTATTTTATTTTTTAATTACAATCATTCATTTTTTTTTGTTCGTCCCTGGAATATCCAGGGCCAATAGCAGTGACTAATCTCCTCACTACGAGGGAGACAACTCAAAGAGTGGGATAGCTGGCCCCAAGATTTAACGCGGCTGCATACACAAGGCAGGATTCGAACCCCTGACCTTGCTTAAGCGTGAATCAACCCCTACCACTGAACCACACGCTTGAGGTTAATTACAATCATTCATTTTAATGTAAAGATTATTACTTAATCTCTTTACCTCTCATAATAAAACATTGTTATCACTTGATTCACTCTATATAATTAACATATATATATATATATGTGTGTGTGTGTGTGTGTGAGAGAGAGAGAGAGAGGGGGGGGGGGGGGG